TTTCAATTTCTCTTCATTTTTTTTCAGGAACAAAACCGGTACATAATTTAATTATCTCCAAATCATCCCTTTATGTTCCTCTCAACATCATCAAACCAAACAAGTAGCTTTTCTTACAGTGTTTTTTGGTAAAAAAACAAATATTAATTTTACAAAAATAGATGATTAAAACTTGCTCTATTATTACAAAAGGGAGTCCGATTCTATTCTTTCCGTACATTCACTAAACTATAAAGGGGTCCCACTCTGTCCTTGTTTTTTCTTTTTCATTTACCTAATTTTGTTTTGGCACTTTCCTAACAGTACCCAAACTATTTAACACAACCTGAACATTCCAATGAAAATATAATACAAGTAAAGAACATTTTCTAAGCATTATATATATATACATACATATATGATACACACACTCACACACACACACACACACATATGTAAAATAGTTTCCGGCCTTTCATGGTACTCTATAATTACCACGCACGTGCCATTAAACAAAATTATAGTTATTATGAGAGTCACTAAAGTTGAAATGTAGGTCAAATTAATTATTTAATAAATCTGTTAATTCATTGATTAGATAAACAAAGTTCTCTTACGGACTGTCCGGATAGAGAGAGTGATCTCCGTCCTTCAACCACTCTTCATGAAGTGTAGTATAGACTGACGTCCATCTTACCCTGTGCACTAAAGATAAATTCAGTTCCAGATCATCCTAAGCAAGAACTAACGGATTTAAAGCCCACCCAAAAAATTTTAAAAAAAAATTACTATAGGCAATTTTAGTCCACCCAGAAATATATATATATATATATATAAGTACAAAAAAAAAAGTAGGAAATGAATCGGGATAAGTTCCATTAGGAAATGGACATCTTTGGCGTAGAGTTCAGGAGAGAGATTCTTAACAGCCTGATGGAGATCTTCATTCAGCGGATTCGATATTTCTTCCCCGATAGAGAACTTCGTGTTCCTTATCTGCTCTATGTGTTCTCTCGGTGTTGCCATTGTTAATATATCTCCTCAATCCAGTTTATATGTGTGTGTGTGTCTGTATATATGTATAGAGAGACTGGACAGAGTGAATTACATGAAATGAGGTGTTAAAAGATAGGTGAATATAAAGGAGGTAAACTTCGTGAGCAAGGAAGGGAAAAGTAAAGTGAAGTGAGTGTACTATGAGAGAGAAAAAGGGCTCCACTTAGGAAGAAGACGGTGACTTTTGCAGGGATTTTATATTGGTCTTCCTCAAGGCTTCGTTTGAATACACAGGAAATAAAAGAGAAAGGAAATGATTATAAGAAAAAAGAAAAAAAAAAAAAAAGAAAGGAAGTTACAGTTTATATTCATATTTGGATAGATAGATAGGAGAAAAAAGAAAAGAATTGACAATATTGTTGTTTGGATAACATAAAAAAAAGAAAAGAAGGGAATAATAATGAAATTATCTTCTTACCCTTTTTTATAGGATTAGTAGGGCAAAATCATTTCAGCCTCCCAATCGCCTCTATCGTTCTCTCTCGCCTCCATCGTTCTCTTTATCTCTCTCTCTCTCTCCAACTGGACACTACAAAATCTACAAGAATCAGAACATCAAAACCCATATCTCCATATCATTTCAAATTGTTCCAAAAATAAAAAATGATCAATTACTACAGAACAAAGGTATGCATCTCTCCAGCTCTGGTTCGCGATGGAGGTCTCTAGCTCGTTCTCTATTCAATCAACCATGGCTTACACATTTTGGTTCAATCAGGTATTTGGATTAATTTCAGTTTTAGCATCATCAATTTCGTCTTCAATCGCATGCATTTTCTCAGTGGATTAGGTTTCTCCTCTCTCTCTATATATAGACACATATATTAATCATTCAAAAATTTGTAAAATCTTTCAAAATCTACAAGAATCAGAACATCAAAACCTATATCTCGGCATATCATTTCAGATTGTTCCAAAAATCGAAACCAAATCCCTTTTCAACTGTAACTCTCTCTTTCTCTCTCTCTCTTTGCAGCTGCATGTATATATAATCAGAACATCAAAACCTATATCTTGGCATATCATTTCAGATTGTTCCAAAAATCAAAACCAAATCCCTTTTCAACTGCAACTCACTCACTCTCTCTCTCTGCAACTGTATATCAAAACCCAATCCGCATATCATTTCAAATTGTTAAAAAAAATCAAAATTCATATCAATCAGTTTCTATCACCTGTTGTTCCAATTCGGTCGCCGTTCACAAATAAGTTTCGGCCAGTTGTCTCTCAACTCTCTTGCCCTTGCTGTAATTTACTCCCTTTCTCTCCAAATCCCTCCAAATCTTGTTAATTTTGGAGTGATTTGGTTTTACTGTATTGGAGGGATAGGCTATCCTTCCAAATCCTTCACAATTCTTTCTTTTCTCTTCTATTCCCTCCATCCAAACACACCTATTCATATCATTCCCTTTCTTTTCTCTCCAAATTCCTCCATCCAAACGAGCCCTAAGTCTTCGCATTGTGTTTTCTTTGCGCGGGAGTGGAATGATGACCACTTAAAAAACAATAGTTATGGTACAACTTTGGAATCGCCAAGTGGCCAACTACCATTGGTTCCTAAAAAGGCTATGTGACAATTTGGGTTTTTGTGATTAGTGTATAGCTAATAGAATTTTGCCATGTATATAAATTTTTTTTTTTTTTTTTTATTATTTTTTTTTCTAGATGGTATTAATATACACATGTCTCTGTCGAGACTTGAACCTCTGACATTCCTTTGAAAAGTAAAAAAAAGATATCACTGAGCCACTGACTCGTTAATACTTACCGGTGTACTTGAATGGTGTGAAGCAGAGAAAAAAGGTAATACCCCGTATTACAAGTCTCAAGACAAATTAGGAATAGTGAGAACTGTACTTTTTTATTTCTCTTTTTTCTTTTTTAAGTTGAGTGTTCCCACTAAACGATAAATATCATTTTCCGTCTTCATTTTTAAATCTAACACAAAATAAGTTTTCCTTTTTTCGTAGTATCTTTGTCCCAAAAAAAAATATTCATTTTTTCTTTTTAGACTATTTCAAAATAAATATTTATTTATCTTTTTCAAACAATATATATTACATCTTTTTATATATGTTGTCTTAAAAATTTCTCCTATTGAAGGACATTTTTTTGAAAAAGAAGAAGTATTTTATTATAATAATAATTTTTTATTTTTTTCTTTCGTAGCTTCCAAGTTCCAACTCTAATTAAAGATCTTTGCTAATTTAACGAAGTCAAGTGACGGGATCATAGTGGAGTGGATCCCACTATCATGTGTGAGTGGGGGGTCTACACTCTCTTACTAGATATTGGATGACACTTAACTTGATTAATATATAATTATTTTTAATACAAACACAGTATTAACATACGAAATAAACAATAAGAATTTTTATACGCTTTGAATTATAACCACATCTTATAGCGTCACTTGATCAGCGCACTTTTGAGACTTAAACAAACCAACAATATAAAATATTTTATTTAACCGTTACCCATTGGCCCTCTTGCATTATCTTCCTTTTTTTTAGAATTTTTTTTAAAAAATTGTGAATAATGATTGTAACCAATGTTTTTAAAATCATTTGAAGTTTTCTTTCTTCAATTTTGAGAAATTAAAACTATTTTTAAAATAGAATCGAATAGTAAATAAGTTTTGAGTGTGACCATACTGCAAAATTTTTTATATTAGAAAGCGTGAAATTAGTTTCTAATAAACATTGAACTAAATTGTTAAGGAATGTAAAAGAGTAATTTATTACATTCCTCAAAAACAAAAACGCTTACCAAAAAGGCCCTAGTGCCCCAAACCGGAAGACCCGAATCTAGTCATCCAATATATAAAGTTATGAAACCAAAGTTTAAAGAATGAAGAGATTTAAGCCCGGTTTGGGGAGCTTCCAGTTTTTAAAATTTTTTTCACTAAATCGGCTTTGGAGAATGCATTTTGATGAAAGGAATTTAAAACAAAAAAATTGTTTGGTAAATGATTTTTTTAAAGTTCTTTTAATTATCAACATAATTTAACTTGACAATTATATCCTTAATAATTCATAAATAATAACATAGAATTGACTTGAGACGTACAAATAGGGGAAGGAAAAAAAATTAAAAAAAATAAAGTAATGGAGTGAAATTGCCCATGATGCATCAACGATTTATTGACATAGTAATGATCAATGTATACAAATTTACCCAATCTACATGATAAAAAATAAAAATAAAAATAAAAAAAAAGTTGAAAGAGATTGTGGAAAAAGAAAAGGGAAGAAAAATAAAATGAAAAAGAGAGATGACAACAAATAAATTACTTTAACAGTGGAACGGTAGCCTTAACAAAAAAAATTTATATATATATATATATTGTGAGAAAGAAAAGTTATTTAGAATTCTACATAGAGTTGAATTTTAGATGAGAGTTCATAAATCCTGAAACTCTTTAGACTTTGAAGTTAAATGGGAGTCGATAGTAATTTTTCCTGCAACTCATGTTATTATTTTTCCTTTGTTGAATTGTTTTTCAAAAATATTTTTTTTAGTAAACATCTGTGAAATTTTGCTCAACGTTTTAAAATTTATTTTTTATTTTTTATTTTTTATTTTTGGATAGAGAACGAATGAAGAAGATAATACAAAAGCAAAAGAGAAAAGTTTACGATGCAATTTAGAAATACAAAAAGAAATAAGTTAAATAATGGACAATATAAGAATTTTATATTTATTACCTAAAAAAGGTGTGTAAAAGAATTTTATATTTATTACCTAAAAAAGGTGTGTAACTTGCAGGAAGTTGATCAGGAAATATATTTTATTGACTTTGGTCAATCAGGCTTCTTAATCATTAAGACTTTTTAAAATTTCTTTTTCAAAAATTTTACCAAACGCTCTCTATTATCGGCAAATGACTTTCTGGGCTTAGAAAAGCTAAACGGACCTTAATTTGATACTGAAAACTACTTCCAATGTAAGTAAACACTAGTAACTTTCAAGAACTGTACAGCACACGTGGCATTTCATTTTGTAAATTATACACCACAAGTCTACGGGGTTCCTCGTGTGGATTTTGCACCAAGCACTTATAATGACAAAGTTGAATAAATGGGAAAAATATTGATGAGCAAAAATGCATTTGAAGAACCCAATACAAAAAACGTTAGTAACTTTCCCGTCACATTTCTCTACCTCCGGCTGCCAAAACCCTCCGAAACTGATTCTTTACCCTTGAATCTCAGATCCATTGCCAGCCCAATCGAGGACGGAATGAATGACCGAATAAACCTCCGAGATGGTGCCACATTAGGTTCCTCTCTCTTGGGTTTCCTGCTCTTGGAAGGCCTACTCATGGCTTCGGAACTTTTAACAAACACCGAAGATTTTGGGTCGAAAATGGATGAGCTAAAGGAAGTGTCATGTGGACCAAATGACACCGGGCCATTATGTGATTCATCCCGAGGGGATCCGACTGCTGCATCCTGATGTGGAGGTGAGAATTTCTCACTTTTGCTCTTACTATTTGCTTGTGTCATGACTCTCCAACGCTGTTGATCAAACCGAAAAGAAAAAATCAACATCAACATCAACATCAACATCAAGGAACAGGAAGAGAGGGGGGAGTGCAATTGAATTAGTTTAAATGAGCTCATGTAACTGAAGCAACTATTTCCCCTGCAAAATTTTGTATTCAAACCACCCCATCTAAAAGAAAAATAAACTGTTACATGATATCTAACTACAATAGTCTCTAGTGACTAACAACATTGGGAAATAGAACTTTTTTAACTTAATACAATTATGAAGTATGTTATGACAAATGCAACGAATCCAAGTTGAACTAAGAATCACGATATAAAATTAAACACTTCCAAAGACAGTTAAAATTTCTTGCATGAATCAGATAAATAAAATTTTTCCACCACTCACAAATTGCCACATGGCAGCAAACCAAATAATAGGGCCAGCCAAATGCATTGGACCGAAGAAAGAAGCCCAGGACATGTCAATTACTCAAAAGCACAGAAGAAACACCCCAGGCATTCATTTGGCCGAAGAAGTAAGGATCAGCCCAGCAAGCCCAAATCCGAAGCCTTGGTTAACACGGCTGAGAGTAACGCCCACAAGCAAATCACAAAGAATCAGCAGAAAATTAAATCTATATATGTAACGTGCAGTAACGGTTCCAAGAAAGTCTCATTCTATAAATATAAAAACAAAGGGCAAGACCCAAAAGAGCACAGACCATTCTCGGCACTATTAGCTCTTGTTCTTCCTTGATCTCTCTCTCTTATTTACTGATTAATTATATTCTCAACGAGTATAGAATTCTTCTGATTGAACTGTCACGTTCGGTCCAAAATTTTATGCACCTAAACTATGCTACCCTTATAACCTTATGCTGATTTGGGAAAAATATATTTAAATTTCTCATTGTATTATCAAAGAATAAACATCAAAACAAGAGTGTTCACATATTTGCAGGTATCTGTAAATTCAAAGCACCAAACTTTAAAAAAATCTTACAACAATGAACAACCCACATTCTTAATTACCAAACTAAGGCATAAACATAATCAATTACTAGTCATCCAAAAAGAAATACTTCTCAAAGGCATAACATAACAAAACAATACACTATTTCAGCCCTCAAATGACACTGCCCAGTTATCAGATTTGAATATCATACTCATATCTCATCCCAAGTTCTTTTTATTTTGCTAAAGGCACATCCATCCCTTTAAATGATTGTAATATCAAACTTCCCTTAAGCCCTCAAGTCCATTAAATTTTTTTCTTACTCATTAGGTTAAGGCAGTATTTAAGTCTATTAATTTGACTTACCCATTATCAAGTATTCTATCAACTCGAGACTTCTACATCTGAAGATCAGTTAGTAGCATTCAATCAAACGTGTTGAGGATTGAAGACAGGAATTGGACTTGCTTTCCATTAACAAATTAAATAATTATAATAATTTCAATATTCAAACCCAAAAAAAAATACAGAACTCTCAAGTTGCCACAATTTTTTACAGAAGAGAAAGAAAAAGTTATAACCACAATCTCTTTAACATATGTATATGAGTATATCTAATGCACATATAAATTACATCAGGAAGAAACTCAAAATTAAACTCAGATAGCCTTTTCGTCATTACTTTCTTTCAAATTTTAAACACGGCATGAAGAAACCTCTTTCGGTTTTAAGCACCAAAATGACAACCACTTCAACAATTAATCAATAAAAATCGACAACAACCAAATCCAAATTCGGCCATAACAAATTCCAGCTAACCAAAGCAAACCCAGCCAACAAAATCGAATACAAAACCAGCAAAATAATAATAATAATAATAAAGGCAAATTGGATCTATCTTTACCGGATCAATAACAACAAAGTGGATCTTAGAGAGGTTCCTTGTATTTACTATTTACAAGGGGGAAAAAAAAACCAGATATCTTAGTGAAAGGGGTTGACGATAACCTGAAGAGCTTGATCAACATTGTCACTTGAAAACGCAAGTGCAAGCAGCTGAGGCGAGAGAAGATGCTTGAGCGGAAGTCTATTAAAGGGCTGATTTCTAGGTAGAGAAAGAGAGAGGGATGTGCGGCTCAACGAGAGAAGGCAGTGAGGGTTGGGTGAAGGAGATATAATAGGTACAATTTGAAACGAGCATGCTTTCTATGCTTTCTAAAGAGGGGATAAATCTCCAAGTTTTCTAATTTTCAAAAACTTATTCCCAAAACTCCCAGAGCTACATGTTGTAGTTCTCTAAAACACCCCAACTCTTTGTAAAAACTATTTTTAAAAAACACATCCAAGCAAACTAAAAACAGTTATTTTGTCACCCCGAAAATAGAAAATTATTTTTAAATTCACATTCCAAGCAAGACCTCTATTTTTAGATTAGTCTTTTATAGTTTAAAATTATTTTTTATTTTTTAAGTTCTTGAGAATTGTTTTTTAAAAAATTAAACCAAATATGCCCTAACGTTGTAATCAAAAGACGAAAGGAAGTAAACCAAGGAACTATAGGGAGGTCATACCAGGAAGAGGGCAAGTGAAGAAACTATTGAACATTCGCTTGTGCTACACTAATGTGCTGAGAACAAAGGAAGACATTCTTCTCCAATTCTTTCTCCTCCTTTGTAGTTTCTTCCTTTTTATTTTATTTTCTGATTTTTCTTTGGACAATTATGTCTCTAGTTCTTCACAAGAAAAGAGGGTTATCGGTGTATAAACTTTACAATAGCTAGCCTAATTCTCATGTAACACGTTTCAGGTCCCATATATATGTAAGGATTCAGAAGACATTTATGTAGAAGATTCTTTCTTTGTATTGTTGGATTTTCTCATCCTCTTTTTCCTTTTAGGTTTAATTTAACCTTTATTATGTAGTCACTTATAATGCAAATGATACAAAAGGTTAAGTCTCTATCCAAATTGTCCTTTTCCAGAATCCCAAGGCATGATCTTGACAAAAGCCAAGCTAGTGTCAAATATGTCACATTCAATCAAGGGCTAGAATCAACTTATTTTCTTCCTTTTTATTTTATTTTCTGTTTTTTCTTCCTTTTTATTTTATTTTCTGTTTTTTCTTTGGACAATTATGCCTCCAGTTCTTCACAAGAAAAGAGAGTTATCGGTGTACAAATTTTTCAATAGCTAGCCTAATTCTCATGTAACAGATTTCAAGTCCCATATATATGCAAGGATTCAGGAGACATTTATGTCAGAAAAATCTTTCTTTGCATTGTTGGATTTCCTCATCCTCCTTTCCATTTTAGGTTTAATTTAAATTTTTATAATTCAAATGGTCAAATGGTCAAGTCTGCATTCAATAATTCAATTTGTTCTTTTCCAGCATCCCAAGGCATGCTATAGTCATGCTAAACTAATGTTCCTCTTGACAACCTTTATTATGTAGTCAAAGAGTGACTTCATGCATCTACTCTTACACCAAGAGACTTGGAAGCAATGGAGGATGCCATGTAACATAACATTAAATGTGTCACATTGAGCATGCCATGTAATTGTGATGCTCTCTAGCTTGTTACCTGATTAAACCAGTTCTATTTAAAGGAACACTTGTGTTAAGACTGGTTCTAAACTAGCAGATTTGCATTCCTGTCCTCCATGTCATTGGACTCGTCTTTTAAATATTCTTTCGACTTAATAATGTTACTCTATCATCCTTGGTGAAAATCTTTACAGCAAAAAAAGGTACCATTTTATGTTAACAAACACAACTGAAATGGAATTCTCAAATAAAAAAATGCTTTTAGTCGGTCCAACCGTAACCCCAAAAGGGCACTTGAAAAAAAAAGAGGTCTATTATGAGATAGAGTGAAGAGAATGAGTAAGAATTGTGAGAGAGATACTGACCTGAATTGAAGAGAAGTTAATTGGATCTCTAGCCAAAGCTTGTATAAGAAGTTGAAACTCACTGTGTCACCATTTACAAGAAGATGTGAACAGGCAATTAAGCCAATTCCATTAAAATCCCTAAGATCTTGAAATAAATCCCCAGTATCTAAAAAATCAAACCCCAGACAAATTCAATGGCCTAATCAACATAAATAGATAATTACATATACACATGCAAATAAATTCAAAACCAATCCAACAAAAATTCCCAAAGTTCTCTAGCTAATTTGTACCAAACATTACGTTTTAATCATTACATACATTTAAATATAAAAAGATGTACATACATTGATATATACATAAGTTATAACTAGCTCTTGGTAGACATACTAATAGTGTACTATTGTGCATGGATGTTCAGAACACTGAATTACATGTAATTCCGGCTGACAATGTGGCGTTTATTACGGTAAATAGAAAAAAGAAGCTGAATCTGACTCCGGCTACTCATTTGTCCATTGCAATGCAACTGGTGTTGCTGCTAGTAACGGTGTCTTAGGCAGAGCTTGTTTGGGTGAACAACGACATGGCCATAAGCTGGAAGATAGAAAATAAATGAAGAAAGAACATGGTAATGAATGAAACAAAGATAAGGCATAAAGAAGTAAGAAACAAAGGCCAGAAGCTTTATAAATAAACTACCACACGAAATCCCATAAGCTTGAGCAATAGGTACATCTTGCGTATTTCACTCTAACAGCACGCCACACATAAACAAAATAGCCAAACAAAACAGCAATAGAAAACTTCGAAGCACAAACAGTTCATAACATTGTTAATTAGAAGGGGAGGCAGAAGAGAGAAACTCCTCGTCCTCCCAATATAACTGCAGATTCTTGGTCTTCAGCAAGAACCCAATGGCATCCTCATCAAATTCAAGGAAGTAGCCCCACTTTATCAGCTCAGCCAGCCGAGATATGTGATCTTCTTTCTCCCATAGCACTCCTTCAGATATTACTTCAGAAAAATAAGTAGCATATTTGATCATATTTTTGTGTCCACCTGACCTGTCCATTTTCTGCATAAACAGTTTCAAATTCTCTCTCTCCCATCGTATCATCCTGCTTGCCTTCACATTCACAATTTCCCCTGAAGACAGTGGTAAACTGTATCCCACTGTAATAGGTTCCACTGTCTCAAGGACGGTAAGGTTAAAGAGGCGTCTCACGGCTTCATGCCTCTTCTCTGCTTCCATTTTGAGAGAGAGATCAGCTAGAAAGCTAAGAATAAGTCTGAACAACCCTTTCCCAATTAACACATCACTTGGATTCACCTGCTTGAGTTCAAAACCGTCCACTACGGACAGCTCTTTCCTTACAGCTTCAGAGATAGTTCTGACACCAATCTTAATATAAATTTCAAGCAGCATAGTTCGTGGCAAGGATGGCAAGCTTGGCTGAGGAAACCAGACAAATAGTGGACGAGAAGAAGACTGCTCAAAAAGATCCTTCAATTCAAGGTCATTGGCAATGAAAACATCTCGCTTGTCGAACAAAAGAATTCCTTCGGGCCCCGAACTTACAGGCAGTTTCAACAAGTTCTCAGCAAGGCTTTTCTCGGTCTTCGAACTCCAGTGCTTTATAACATACCCCCAAAAGGCACAACATTCTGCATGTGACAAGTTGTGTCCATTGCTTTCCCATACCTTCCAAAGCTTACAGTAATCATCTAACGAAGGATTGATCTTCACTTCCAGCACACTGGAGAAGAAGTGCTGTAATTTCCTCTCATACAGTTTCTCCAGCACATGCAACTGCGTGCCAAAGAGATCATCCTTGTCGTGAATCACACATTCTTTAGGGCATACCCACTCTCCGTCGTCACTTCCATTGGGGACCCAAATTTTAGTAGTGCTTCCATCAATGGGCATCCAGTTGACCTGGTTCAAATAATTATAAATACGAACAATAGTAGTGAACTTAGAATGAGAATCAAGGTGGCTTGCAAGCAACTGGCACCCACTTCTAACATCAACAGTAACTCCTAACGCTTTGAGCTCTTCTCTGTAGGATTTAATTTTGGAACCATAAAATTCTTCATCAATGAATGGCCCATCATCCCGTTGCAAGAGAGAACTCCAGCTCGAATCAAACAGCAAGCACTTGTCTGGAGACCTATAACCAGCATTAGTTTTTAACCATTTCTGAGAAGCTTTCTTCAAAAAATTATCAGGAAGGGACGCATTTGGCTCTTTAAGGAAATTCCTGATGCATTCCAGCAATGAATTTACATTCACAGGAGTTATGCTGCTAGGATTTGAGGGTAAATATAGGCCAGAAATCACAAACTTGGAACCGTACTTGAAATCAACAACAACACCCATTCCCTTCAGCTCCTCCTCGTATTCATAGATGTCCTTACCACAGTAAATGTCACTATCATCAATGAAAGGAAGCAGCGAGATTGGAGAGACAGATTCCCAATCTGCGCCAAAAAGAATGCACTCTTTTGGCGTTCTGTAATCAGTAAGCCGTGTTCGCAACCATTTCACTTCATGAATGCAGTTCTTAAGAACCAATGGAAATTTAAAAGCTGTTCCTTTCAGATTTCTGAAACATGCCAGGAATGAAATAACTTGATCTTTTCTGATGGAGGATAATGACGCTTGCTGCTTAAAAATGAGAGCAAATGCTTTGGCCGCCTCCTCAAAATCCACCATAACCCCTATCTGCTTCAACTCATTTATGTATTTCAACAAACTTGCTCCATAGAAGTTGTGATCAATAAATGGGAAGCTATTGAACACCTGAAGAAGGCAACCCCATTCAGGATTGAATAGATAGGATTCAGCAGGAGACTTGTAGCCCATGTTTGTCTTCAAGAATTTCTTGTTTTTGACTGCACTTACAATATTGTCGGATGATCTTAAATGACGTATACATTCCAGTATCAAATAAACAGCCTCAGCTGACAGACGAGCAAAGCATGCTGAAGATTTTAGATGGTCGGCAACAAGCTGGTATTTTTTAATATTGAAGTTGACTAACACACCAAGCAGCTTCAGTTCTGTTTTGAAACAGAGGATTTCGTCACCATAGTAACCTTGATCAATGAAGGGAATATCACTGATTTGTGATGCAGCTTTCCACTCCAGATCATACAAAACAGATTCAACTGGGGACTTGTCACCTCGGGAAGTCCTTAGCCACCTTCCAAACTTGACACTGCGGATAAATTCTTTAGGAGAAAGACACTTCTCCCGCAAAAACTTGATAAAATTTAGAATGGCAAACACATTGCCTCTGGTTAATGTTGAGGAAGCTGCCAGAGACATGAGATGCTTCGCAATAAATTGACATGCTTCCCCATATTCAAACATCAGTCCAGCTGTTCTTAACTCCTCCTTATAGCTACTAATTTTATCCCCGTAGAAACTCTGATCAATTATTGGAATATCAACTTGCACAGAATCGTTCTGCAGAAGTTGTCCCCATGATGAGGATGGAAAGAATGACTGTGATGGGGGCCTAAATCCAGGACTACCACTTAACGAAACCCTAAGCCAGCTTCCCTCCCTTATGCATGTCAAAAACTTCAATGGCAAGTCAACTCCCTTTAGTCTCAGTTTTTTCATCCATTCCAACAGCAAGAATGTGTTTTG